TAAGACTGAACCCTATACATCCTTAGCCATCAGGGAAATACAAATAAAAAATGACTTTGAGATTCCACCTGTCAGAATGGCTATGATCAAAAACACAAGAGACAGCTCATGCTGGAGAGGATGTGGAGCAAAGGGAACACTCCTCCACTGATGATAGGAGTGAAAACTTGTATAGTCACTTTGGAAATCAATATGGCAGTTTCTCAGAAATTTGGGAAATTGATCTACCTCAAGCCCCAACTATACCACTGATGGGCATATACTCAAAAGATGCTCAATCACAGTACAAGAACATTTGCTCAACTACGTTTATTGCAGTTTTATTCATAATAGCCAGAACCTAGAAACAACCTAGATGTCTTTCAACTGAAGAATGGATAAAGAAAATGTGGAACATTTACACAGTGAAGTATTACTCAGCTGTTAAAAACAATAAAGAAAATGTGGTACATTTACACAATGAAGTATTACTCAGCTGTTAATAACAATGGCATCATGAAATTCAAAGGTAAATGGATGGAATTAGAAAACATCATCCTGAATGAAGTAGCCCAGATCCAGAAAGACAAACACGGTATGTACTCACTTACAAGTGGATATTAGTTGTAAAGTAAAGGATAATCATGCTACAAATCACATCTCCAGAGAGGGTAGGTAACAAGGAGGGATTAAGGAGGAACCTCCGATCTTCCTAGGAAGGGAAAATAGAATACATTTCATGGGTGAACTGGGGGTAGGAGGGTATGGGAACATGAGGGATCAGGTGTTGAGGGGGAAAATACTGAAAGAGACAACTGGAAAGGGGGTCACTTCAAGGTCAGGTAGAAACCTGGTGCAAGGGAAACTCCCACGAATCTACAAGGATGACCTCAGCTAAGAGTCCTAGCAATATGTAGGAATATGTAGCCTGAACTGGCCATCTCCAATAACCAGGCAAGACTTCTAGTGAGGGAATGGGACACCAACACAGCCACATAACCATCAACCTACAGTCTGTCCCACCTATGGGATGTGCTGGGGTAATGGTGGCACAGAGGTTGTGGGAGTAGCCAGCCAATGACTGGTCCAGCCTGAGACCCATGCCACAAGAGTGAGTCCACCCCTGACCCTGTCTGGAGCATCAGGACCCAGAGGCTGGATGGCCCAAAGGGCAAGCATAGAACCAAACAGTACTGGAGAAAAAAAAGTCAATGTAATGATGCCTAATGATATTCTGCTAAACTCATAGATTGGTGCCTAGTCCAATAGTCATCAGAGAGTTTTCATCCAGCAACTGGTGGAAACAGATGCAGAGACCCACAGCCTAACATTAGGTTGAGCTCGGGAAATCCTGCTGGAGAGGGAGGAAGGATTGTAGGAGCCAGATGGGTCAAGGACACCACAAGAAAACCCACAGAATCAACTAACCTGGGCTCATAGCAGTTCAAAGAGACTGAACTGACAACCAGGGAACCTGCATGGGACTAACTTAGGCCCTTTGCATATATGTGACAGTTGTGTAGCTTGGTCTTCTTGTGGGACTCCTAACAGTGGAAGCAGGGACTATCTCTGACTCTTTTACAGGCTTTGGAGACTCTACTCCTCATACTGGGTTGCCTTGCCCAGACTTAATACAAGAGGAGTTGCAACTTGATATGTCATGTTTTGATATTCATGGGAAGCCTGACCTTTTCTTAATAGTAACAGAGGAGGAGTGGATGGTGGGGGGTGCAGAGGGGAGGTGAAATGGGAGGGACTGGGAGGACAGGATGGGAGGGAAACTCTAGTCAGGATATATATAGGAAAAATATAATAGGCTTCAGACTTTCTTTTCTTTTTTCTTTTTTTGTTTTTTCTTCTTCTTGTTTTGCTTCTCTTCCTTCTTTTTTCCTCACATGTCTTTGCTAAGTTAAGTGTAAGCAACAGTGTGAAGGCAGGGTCAGATGACGAGAAATGGAATGCAGTTGTCCATCCAAATGGTCAGTTCAAAGCATCTCAGGTATTTCTCCCCATGTTTTCCTTTCTAGATATTCAGGACACAGCCCCATACTTTCTCTCTTATCTTTGTTCCGATGCCATGCACACACAAACATACACATATACACACATGAATAGCACCCAAGTAAGCAACGTTTATAAAATCCTGTGACAAAATGAGAAAGCACTACCTTACCACAATTTGCAATTCAAAAAGAAGCACAGAAGTCAGTAGGTGGGTAGGTTAAGTGGAGAATGATCTGACTGGGTAGGTAGTACAGGGAAACTGGAAACTAGGGAAATCCAAGCCTGTGGATCCCAGCACTCAAGAGGTAGACGCAGGAGGATTAGAAGAACTTCAAGGGAAATCCCAGCTACACAACAAGTTCAAGGCAAGCTTGGACTCCATGATGAAGACAGAGATAGACAGGGAAGGGAAGGAAGGAGAGACACAGAGACAGAGAATTCGAAGTCCTCTAAAGAATAGAACCTGCTTCTTGAAAGCATGAAAGAAATGCAAATATGGCAGCTATCATGCGTTACTCTCATTAGCAGAGGGTCATTACAGGCCTCGGGGACACAAGAGTCTCCTGTCCAGAACTGACAGCATATGACATATCTCATCTATCCCAAGGAGTCACAATGGCTGCAGCTCAGATCATGACTGAGAAAAGGGGTGATGGATGAGGTTGGGAAGAAATGCAAAAGGGCAAATCACAGAGTAATTTATAAATAAGATGGTCACATAATTCATCATTCAGACCAGGCTACTTTTGAGAATAAATGGGGGAACTGCTATTAATGAAGCTGGAACAGAAGGTGCACACCATTGCTGTCAGAATAACTAGCAACTCACTTCACGTTAGCAGAGCTCGGACTTTGGGCTAAGGTCAAGGAGATATACCATGGCATTTTATAGAGAGGAGTTTGTTCTGTTTTATTTTGTTTTCATGAAATTGCCTCTAGCTCAAGTACAAGAAACAAATGGGAGAAGGCTAAATTGCAAGCAAGAAGCTCCATTAAAAGTCCACTATGAGGCTTCTGGCTATTGAAATAATGGTAACCTGAATCATCGTGATAGTTGTGTGAGGACTATAAGAAACTGATGTAATACTATTAGGTTGACTTTATGAAATTGTTGAAATTCACCTTTTTTTTTTGGCCTCCAGCATGAAAGCTTCGAAGACTCCCCTGAAGGATTTTAAGAAAATGGTTGGTTGGTCACAATGTTAAACAATGATAATAGTGAAAAATGATAAAAATTAGTGAAAGTATTGTTATTAGTGGACTGACTGATAAAGACTATACATTAAAATTCAAAACAGGATTGCTGTTCCTGGACATTAGGAAAGTGCTTGATTATATACGGCTCATGCATATAAACAGAGTGCCAACTCTAGAAAAGTAATCCCCATAAGGGATTCTAAGGCTTTCAAAGAGGAAAATGAGGGGAAAAACAGTATGCCATTAGACCAAGCTGAGAAATGGGGAGTCAGTCAGAGAAAGGGGGAATCAGATGACATGTATGACTGAATTGTGAGGTCACTATGGGTGAATTGGATCTACACCAGGAGAGATTTCTGATATCTACTATGGGATCACACCATACTGGCCATGTTGATAAGTTTAATCAAAAGCCAGATGAGTGCCTTCCTGGCTTGATATCATGATGTCACATAAGCCCCATGTGAATCCAAATGCCACATCAAAAGTGTGATCAGAAAGTAGAAATTTGAACTGACTCTGTTTTAAATGGAAGAACAATCTAAAAATTACAGGAATGTATTTTACATACCCCCAATCTAATACTTTCCCCCACGCTACCACATAAGTTCAAGTCTTCTATATAAACTGTAACTTACTCAAATCGTTCCCATTAAGAAGGGGAACAGAGCCAGAGTAAAGCAAATTAAGTAAGTTCCCAATATTACTTGATTGTTCAAACCCAAAGAAGCTGAGAGGGAAGGCTATGGAGGAGCCCAAAACGATCACTGAAAGCAACCCCTACACTTCAATAGCATATTATCAGAGGAAGGAGACTTGAAATCCAAGTCAGTCCACAAAAGGTGATTTCAAGTGACATGCAGTACTGCTAACATGACCCGAGTCAGGTATCCAGGGATGGGATGATCAGACATCCCATGCATGCTGGATGAACTTCGAAACTTGATATTTTGTGGTTAGTGTTTTCTCTTTCGAGTACCTTCAAACCCAATGAATAGGAATAAAGAAATTGGCCAGTGACCAAAATGTTTGGGATCTGTTCTCATTCTGCATTACCCAAACAAACTTTTCAGTCACAAGGCTGATATGCTGCCAACTTAAGGCCATTAAAACCTGGACTGACACTTGAGATGAACAGCAAGACGATCATCGAGAGGCAAGTGGAGCAATTTCCAAAGCTCCGAAGGGCGGCAGCACAGTGAGAGAGTGAAGCGTATACATCGACATAACTGATCAACTACCAGGCACACACAAACTTACATTATTTCAATTTCATTCAGTTTCATTTAGATATTTTACACTAATGTCTTAGTTACATTATCCTTCTTATTGTGGAATTGCCAAGCAAACATATTCTCTCTCATCAAACATACATGATAGACTGGGGCCAAATTGTAGAATTTATCCTCAGTCTCCTTCCTTAATTTATTGTTCTCCCACAATGAACAATTATAGTTTTCACTACAATCATCCAAATAAAGACTTGGGACTTTTTTTCTTCTGTGGCCTCAGAGGTCCATTTTTAAACTATAAAATAACTGGTGGACTATCTACTTGCATAAACATCATTCCAAATTGTGATACAATTCATGTCAGACAATGTATTTCACACTGGTTAAGTAATACTCCCATCGAGTGGAGTTATATAAGACGCTGCCAAGTCTACCTGCAGGGAAACACACTTCAATAGTTCTCACACAGCATGAAGGCGTTTATCATTATTCAAATATAGAAGAAATGAAAAGGTTCCAACATTTCTGACATTATAACTGGCTTGTGGTAAACTGCTGTTAAGCACATTCAGTGGGCTGCACTTACCCTACACAATTGGAAGACAGCTTTCACGCTGCTCTGAAGAATACGAAGAGAGTCAGAAGTGCTCTGGGGAAAAATTCCTTCCTCAGATCTTGCCCTGTACTCCCTGAAGTCCTCAAAGAAAACCACGGACCAATCCACAAAGCACAGTAGCAATTAAAGGAGGAAAAATAGACGCACATGCATTTTAAGAAAGGTTTTGTTTTTTTTCATTAGCCTTTCTGTCTTGTTCAATGTCTGAGAAGAATGTTTACAAAATGTTTCTTTTTTTGTTCCCTGTTCTTTCCTTCCTTTTAAAATGATAGACAAAATTGTATGTGTTTATAGTGCAAAACATGATGTTTGAAATAGTCACTGTGGTAAGTGTTTTTGCAGAGAGAAAAAGTACGTTAATTTTCAACATTTGGCCAAATACAGAATAACACCAGTAGCATTTAGGTCCAGGTCCACGTGAAACCAGTGTCTGAAATTAAAGCAAATGGTCTCCTATCTTACCCTCACCTCTTTCATTAAACAAGATCTAGAAACAAAAACAATTCAGTCTGAGGGCAGAGTTGTTCACGGAGTTTGTTAATTGGGTTTGTTGTTGTTGACGGCGGCGGCGGCGGCGGCGGTGGTGGTGGTGGTGGTGGTGGTGGTGGTGGTGGTGGTGGTGGCATGTGTGTGGTCTCTCCCCAATTCTCTGTGGTATGTATGTATATTCATGTGTGAAGACCACTGCTCTGTATACTCCAGGTTAGCCATCCCATGAGCTTCTGTGGGGCAGAGGGATTAGCCTATCTCCAGCTCCCATCTCACCATGGGAGTGCTGGGATTGTAGACGTGTACCATCATATCTGGCTTTTACTTTGGTTCTGGGAATCTGAACCTGAGATGTGAAGATTGGCCAGCAAGCATTTTTTCCTTGTTAAATCATCTCTCTCTCTCTCTCTTTGTGGCTGTTATTATTTTCAAAGTTCTGACTTCTACTTAACATTGTCATTGGTTAATAGTTTCTTAGGGTTTTTGTTGCCATGATAAAAATACTATAACCAAAAGCAAGTTGGGGAGGAAAGGGTTTATTTCATCTTATAATTTGTATTCAATCATCTAGGCAAATCATGCAGGAACTCAAAGCCAGAACCTGAAGGTAGGAACTGATGCAGAGGCCATAGAGGAACATTGTTCACTGGCTTGCTCCTCATGGCATGTTCATGCTGATTTCTCATACAACTCTGGACCACCTACCTGCCCAGGGTTAGCATTGTTCCTTGCCCCACACCTCTGGGCTGGGGTCACCCACAACAATCATTAATTTAAGAAACAATGTACTACAGATTTGCCTACAGGAAATTTGATGGAAGCATTTTCTCAATTGAGGTTCCCCTTCCCAAATAACTCTTGATTATGTCAATCTAATAAGAAAAACTAACCAGATCAAATTGATACAAGAAATTGAGGAGAAGGTTATTTTTTTGTTGTTTGCTATAAAATAAAGTTTGCAAAAATAATGTGAAAATATAGTTGAGAGTGTCATAATGAACTAAGAACAGGATTTAGATAATATAAATTAAAGTATATGTAGATTCAAGTCTAGTGAACTCAAGGATGACTAAAGCCTGGTTCAGTTATGCATCTGTTTTAGCACATTTACAATCTTCATCTTAAGACTCAAATAAAAAATTACTTGTGTGACACATATTTAGATCATTTACCTCACACAGCTCAAGCATAGTTATCCATGAAAGTTTGCTTTGTTATTTTCCTATGAGCTATGATTTAAAACTGCAGCCCATGAAATACAACTTAACTGTGACAAATTCTCCTTTTGAAATGAGCATAGTTATTTTAAAATTAGATATGCTTGAGATGACACTGTGAAGCACTGAGCCCTGGAGCTATATTGAACTTGAAGGAAGTATTACATACATACATTACAGAGGATTACACATTTAAATTACACAGGTCAACTCTTAACTTAAGTAGTGATTCTTTGTTGCTCTTTACACATTTACATTTGGTTGCTGGTTTCAGGTTCCACTTTGCAAATAAATGTGCATACTTTTCCAAAGTAGAAAATCAAATGCACCTAAGTACTGTTTAAATAGCATCTACCCAGTGATTTGAGGATCAAGTTAAAATAACATCTCCAACCCATTATTGTTTTTTTTGTTTTGTTTTGTTTTAATTTCTAATAGTAACAGAGAAACAAACCTCCCACCATAGAAAACTATTATAAAAATAAAAGTAAGAACTTCTTTATTCCATAACTATTTGGAAAATTATTTTATCTACCAACCTTAAGGGAGAAAAATGGATTGAAGGTGTTAGCTTTACTCTTAAGTTTTTTCTTCTCTACAGTGCTTTTCTTGCTATTTTCTTTTTTTTCTGTTTAGATTTACTCTTGTGCTCAGTGTCTAAGACAACAACTTCATTTAATGGCACCCGCACATATTCTCAAAAGACACTGATAATTTTGACTATGATATTAAATCATACACACACACACACACACTATATATATATATATATATATATATATATATATATATAGTCATCTGTTACAAAGACCACATATTTGTATAAATTCATCTGTTGCATATACCACATAATATGCTCCATGCAACAGATGAATTTATGTGTGGTCTATGTAACAGATGAATTTTCTTTTCCCTTGCAAACAACCTCAATTATAACCTCATTTAATTTAGATTACCTGTGGGCTGAAGCAATTCCATAACATAAAAATATGTTTATACCTAGCATATTTTAACTAAATTTTATTGCTAATAAGCACTGTCTAAGTTGCTCTGAGAGCTTAACACTGATTGCTTTGCTACTACAGTGGTGTATATAATGTAGAGGATGTCACAAATCAATTCCAGAAGTGGAAATATGGGAGCTTTGATTATGGTATTGCAATAAGCTACAAGTATAGAGTTTTTAAAAGAATCTCGAGTTAGTAGTGACTAAATCCAAATTATGAAGGTCATCTTACCAAAAAAAAAATACAGCTTACATTCCCATGGACATTTATCTCAGATGAAAAGCTCTAAGAAGAGACAAAGGAAGCTAGTACAAATATCTATATTCATAAAATATGTCCCAAAGAAAAGGTATATTAAACAAATAAATCACTAGAATAACCAATAGTTGGGTGAGTTTGGCTAAATTTATCAACCTTGAAAAGTTACTGAAGAGCTAAAGAGATGGCTCAGATTAAGAGCATGCACTGTTCTTTTAAAGGACTGAAATTAGCTTCTCAGCAACCACACTGGATGACTAACAAACACCTGGAAAATAGCTCCTGCCAAATCAGATGACATCTTCTAGATGGACACCTACATGCACACATGGACACACACATATGCACAATAAAACATAAAATAAATCTGTAAAAGATAAAAGTAACATAAAATATGAACCAACATTTAAAAATCGCTATTAGAATTGCCACTGCAATGGTTATTTCCTGCGTAGCTTCTAGGCATGGTTAAACCAGGAACTATGTCTGCATGCCATGCCAAAAACATGTAACTAGACTCCACCTCAACTTTCATAATCTGCCTGCTCAAATACTCCAGACTCCGAAGGAACACTACAGGATTCCTTCCATGTGGAAGAAAAAAAAGAAAAAAAAGGCTGAGGTTCAGTGGAAGAGTGACTACCAGAACTGGGAAGAGGGATACCATAGGGTAGCACAGATAAAATGAGGCAGAATCTGATCCCATTGTATTGTATGCATATGCTGAAAAATCACACTGAACTCCATTAGCATTTTCAGTTAATACACACTAATTAAATACTTTTAAATGAGATTGAGAGTTAGAGAGATAATACAGGAGGCAGAATACATTCCCTATGTCCAAGCCAGGCAGCTCACAGGATCCTGCAACTTTAGATGCAGGGGATCTCCAGCTTTCTTGGGTGTGCGCACTCATGTACCCAATACACACACACACACACACACACACACACACACACACACACACACGCACACGCACACACACACGCACGCACACACATGCACGCACTCACGCACGCGTGCATGCACCTATAGCCATAATTAAAAATAACATTTTAAATAATTTTCAGTTATTCTTCTTTTATGATAGATTTCATTATAAACTAATAAGCCTAAATTCAAGTTTGGATTTTTTCTTTTAATACTAATAATTCTGTCTCCCTGGTTGTCAGGCTCATTATTTACACCCCATAACTCACTGTTCCTTCTCCCTGAGTTACTTTGTTCCTGGTCTGCCCATCTTAATTCCTCTAGTCTAGTAGACTCAGTACAAATGGCATCTCCTTTGTAATGCTGTCCTTACTCCTATGAAATGAAAATTTTTTCTCTCTTAGAATCTAAAAACACTTTAATAACCTTATTAAACCCTCTCCATATATATATTGTGCCTGTGTTTACCTCATTATATAGATACATTTACTTTTTCTCTACTAAAATAATTCTAGAGAGAGAAAATTATACCTTTTTCATATTTGTATAGACACTGCAAATTTCTTTTCTTACTTAAGCATTCCTGTTTAATAGGGGGATTTTTTTTCTGTCCTTTGTATCATTCCATTGCCCGACATAGGAGAATAATGCATGTAAAGTAGATTAAAAAGACATCAAACAAAATATGTTTATTTGGATCAGTGAAATGGCTCAGCAGGTAAAGGTGCAGGTCATCAGGACTGATGACCTGCTTTTCATCCTCAGAACCCACATAATGAAATCAGAGAACCAAGTCTCGGATCTTGCCCTATGATCTCCAATTGAACACTGTGGCATACACACACACACACACACACACACACACACACACACACACACACACGCACGCACATTTTAAAAATTAGTGTATATTTATTTTGTGGCCTATACTTAACCAGAATTATTAAAGAAATGTTAGCTTTGTCAGTATTTTATAAAGATAAAATCTTTCCAAATAAAACAAGCTTTTTACTGTTACATTTCAAAATTATATAAAAATGTAGAAGAAAAATATTAATTATGGTTTCATTCAGTAGCCAAAAATGTTAGCTCACCAACCAAGAATATTGTTATCCATAGGGACATAACACTCCACTATTATTGTGCCTTGGTTTTGAAACAGAAGTTTCTCTTTTGTTATAAGATTAAGCAATATCTTACATGAAATCCATTAATTTTACTCCTAAATATGAGAAATGAAAACATACACCTACAAAACAATT